AGCTCGGCTGCCATTCTGCCTTTAGTGAGTTACCAGCTGTGCCACCCTTTCACTCCAGCTTCCAGCCCTGTTTTACGTTGGGATCTGGGACACTGGCTCAAGTCCTATCCCCTCGCTCTAACTTGGGTGAGCTCTGGATCTCCCATTTTGTGGTATGAAGGGAAACCCCAGGTCCCCTGGTTTCACGCGGTTTCCTTCTACAGCTGGTTCATGGCCAGTGTCCTGTGCACTCGTGCCCTCCTGATTCCAGACTTCGGTCCTCACGTTTCCTAACTCAGAGTGGCGGAGCAGGGCACTTATCGACCCCTGAGAAGCACTAGGGAAAAACTTACTTGCATTTAAAACACACGAGAGAGAAGTAAAAGTGTCTTTATTACTTAAAAAAATGGTAATATTAATATTATCATTTTCAATAACTACATAATGCTTTCACGAACTACTCTGAATTTATTTTTTAAATATTTAGAAATAAAAATAGCCTGGTGATAGTTGCCTCTGTAAAGCATCAGTATTTGGTGAGAACATCATACAAGAATCAGATATGCAGTTTCCTCATTTCTTCTGAAGTCATCCCTAGAAAGGATGGCGAGAGACAGAACCCGTTCCACTTAAATCGCAACCTTCTCACACGTTAGCACGATTGCAACTGGAGACTCGGGGAGGGGATTCAACCAGAATGCTAAAGTGTTTACTGAACCAGAATGATACTTCAGATCTAGTGTGTGTTTTCTTCAGCCTCGGTGCCACACCAGAGAGAACACGGTGGGGAAAGATCTCTACCTCAATGCTGGCCGCTCTCCGTAGCCAAGACCAAGAATACACTGGGTGGGAAAAGGAGGGAGTCCGGCCCTGTTTCCTTTTTTCCTATCTCTGCCACAGCCTCGCAGCATGCCAACTTCTGACCAAAATCAGACAAAAAGACAAGCCGCGCTGCGTGATAGAAGAGTATGGCCCCACCGAAAATTCAAATGACAAGTTATTACACTTCACATTAGGCTTCTCTGCCTAATTAGCTTCGTGCACCCTTGAATAAACGTGCTTCTAAGAAATGCCGATGAAATCGACACTGCGGCCACTAGCAAGGAGAGCGCGGCATCCGCAGGGAGCCATGGCGACGCAAGGCCTCGGTCCCCACCACAGTGAGCAACAGGGCACCCGCTCATCGCCTGAGAAGTCTCCCACAGAGCTCCGCGCTAACACGCGGGCACGTGTGTCATCGAGCCCAGGAGCCAAAGCTTCGACACGGGTAAACCCGGTTCTGCTCGGCTGCAGGAGAGGAGGCACAGCCCCACGCACGGAACGGGAATCCCCACGAAGTCACGGGCAGCGTGGCCGCCAAGGAAGTCATGTTATTCCCTCTCTAGGAAGAAAAGGAAACTGAGGACACAACACCGCGGAGAAGCAGCTGTCTTTCTGTAATTTTATTCTCAGTGCTCTCTTGGGCAGCCTGACATGTTCACCCACATTACATGTGATCACAAGTGTTGGTACAGAATGCTCTTTGGTCGGTTACGTGACAATTTAATTCCAAGTTAAACATTAGGTGAGAATGATGGCAGCTAAAGTATGAATTATTGGAACTATGACAATAAAAACACATTACTTACTTAGCATCTCTTTTATTTTTAAAGTGCCAGAGGGCACATGTGGTTACCAGAGAGAGACAGAGGAGAAAGTACACCCCAATGGGACACAGTTCCGTCACAGTCCCTGCTCCTCCACTTCTCCATCCGGCTGGGAATGGGGGCACACATACACACGTTCCTGATGTGCTGTTCCAGCCACAGGAGCCACGACGCCAGCCAAGGTCAGCCACGTGGGCTCCAGGGCCTTAACCACGAGGCCGTGGGGCTGGCCCTACTTATAAACTTGTCACTAGTACTGACCAAGCAGACGTCCTAAGTGTTCAGGAGAAAACAACGACGAGCTCTAACTTTAGGTCCCACTTATCTCTTCCACAGAGTCAAAAGACTTCTAGATATGAAGGGTAACTAGAAAACCAGGAGAACTCGGGGTGGTACAGGATTTAAAGGAGTTCCTTATAAAAGAGTTGAATCACATGGAAGAATTACAACGGAATTATAAAAACAATATTTTTTTGCTTAAATTACATTACTTTAAAAATAGCGATAAATACTTTAAAAAGTACTGAGTCGCTGGAAAAGTCATGTTTTTTCTATGCAAAAAATGCATCATGACTTTTCTGAAAACCTGGTATGATACACTTCAGTGTATCTAAATAAAGTGCTCTTCTTCATCCTTTTTGGAGGACACTGATTACCCTCTCTGGGAGGCTGTACCAAGGTGGGATATTTTGACATTCTATATACTTAGAACATATCGAGAGGGACCAGCAGATGGCGTAATGGCTACATGGCTGGACTCCCACGTAGTCAACTGCAGTTCAATTCCCGGACTCGATGGCTTAAACTCACGCTGGGTGCGTCTGCATGTGTGCCCAAGATCCCGAGAGGAAAATGGAGGAGATGGGATTGTAATGTGGCCATCCTTGGGGGGGGGGGTGGATTTCTCACTTTCTGTCTCTCTGTCTCTGTTTTTCTAATGAGTGCATACGCCCTATAGCAAAAAACCTTTCAAAAGGAAAAAATAAAAAAAAGAATGCACTGAAAAACAATAGAAGTTACAAGGTATTACTGCAAGTCTTTCTTCACTGCAGAAACCTTCCAATAACTCTGCCAAAAGTGGCTTCTCTCTACAGGTTGCTGACAGAACAGATTGCTCCATCCTACTTATTTTCTAGCTGCTTATTAACATGGTCTTCCCAATTAGCCTGGAAACTTTGCTGAAGGCTACAATTGTGATTGATTGTTTCGTTTTTGTTTTTGGAGAGATTTTTGCTATATGGCATGTGCACTTACTCACCAGAGAGACAGAAAGACAGAAAGCAAGAAATCACACCTCAGGGGTAGGGCCACACAGCAATCCCTGCTCCTCCACTCTCCTCTCCGGATCTTGGGCATGCTTGTACACGTGCCCAGCATGAGTTTTAAGTCTCTAGGTTCAGGACTTGAGCCACAGTTGACATGGGAGTCCAGCGATATAACCATTATGCCATCTGCTGGTCCCTAGAACTGGGACTTCTAAAATTTCTCTTGGATTCAATTAAGCACTCAGGCGAGCTCTGGGCAACAGTAGGCTACATAAAGATGCGCTGAGCTGAACCCAACAGGAGAGGGAGGAGCCTCTAGCCTATGTGAGCAGGCCGGCAGAGACAGGGACGGCGACCAGTCTTTACCATTTAGGGTTTCCTATTTCTCTGGGCTATGAGAGCAGATTGGACTGTGACATTGTGACACATGACAGTAAGAGGAGATGAAGAAATACCCACCCCATTAGCACATGCGATTGCTCATGGAACACTTTGTTCCAGTCTGATTCTTCCTAAAGCACCTAGTCCCTTCCTACACTAAGAATACAAGATTATAAAAGTAAAGGAACTAGGGACAAGCAGATGGCGTAATGGTTACGTCGCTGGACTGCCAAGTCGTTGACCACAGTTTGAGTTCCAGACCTGGAGGCATAAAATTCACACTGGGCGTGTGTGCATACATGACCAAAATCCTGAGAGGAAAATGGAGAAGGGACTGTGGCATGGTCATTCCCCCCAGGGGGTGATTTTTCGCTTCCTGTCTCTCTGTCTCTCCAGCAAGCACGCGTGCCCTCTAGCAAAAGTCTCTCTTAAAAAAATAAAAAGTAAAGGAACTACCCTGACACATATGCACCTGCGTTCTCTGATTTTACACAGCCAGGAAAACGTAGCTTACAGCAGCTGACCAAGTACTCAGGATCAGGGTAGGGGTCATACTAAGAGACCCCTCTAGTTCTTAAGATCTAAAATAATCTCAGAATTAAAAGACAGTATTTGCGGTACCAGCAGTTGCCATAATTGCTATGTCACTAGACTCTCATGTAATCGACCGCAGTTCAAGTCCTGGACCCGGTGGCTTAAACTCACTCCGGGTGCATGTGCGTGCGTGCCAAGATCCTGAGAGGAGAACGGAGGAGAAGGGATTGCAGCATGACCATCCCTGCTGGGGGGTGATTTCTTGCTTTCTGCCTCTCTGTCTCTCTCTGTCTTTCTGTCTTTCTGGCAAGTGCATGCACCCTATAGCAAAAAAAAAAAAAAAAAAAAAAAAGAAAAAAAAACAACACTGAAATAAATAAATAAATAAATAAATAAATAAATAAATAAATAAATAAAGACAGACAGAATTTGCCATAATATCCCTCCTTACACTGAATCAGTTTTTGGTTAAAAACGTATCCCCACCCCCTGGCAAGGTCTGACTGTTTTGCAATCCTCCTGCCTCAGCCCGATCCCGATCCTGCCCAAGGAGTTGGGATTTCAAGCACCCAGCACTGTGTCTGGCCTTTAGAATGGGACCTGGGCCTCCCGTGTGGCCCTAGCCTGTGCAGCACGGCGTCTGTGCAGAGTCTCTGGACCTAAAATGGCAGCTTAACACTCACAGCACTGGAGTCCGTCTGCTCAGTCACCCTCTACCCTGACGGTCCCTTTCTGTTTCCACATTTAACCCTTCTGCAAGCCACCTCATGTTGTTGTTGGGAAGAGACAAGTTGTGAACAAAGTCTTCCTTATCTTTAAAATATGAAACCAGAACATAAGAGGATGATGCACACTGTCAGCATCCTGTTGAGACCAACAGTAAGACATGAGCACCAGGGTGGCCCCCACGTTAAAGGAGCTGAAGACTCCGACACTTTGAATGGAGACTCTGAGATGAGGCAGAAGCCAGAGAGCAGCAGCCGGGGTCCAACACGCGACATCTCCCAGTTCGTGGTTCCTCCCAGTACCAGCTATGGTTGGGAAAACACTCAGCCTTTCTGAGAATCTGGTCACTGGAAATCCCATCTTTTCTTTGCACAGAGGCAGGCAGGCTGAGTCTAAGACACACACATTGTACAGGCTGCATGAGAGCATGCAGAGTACTGCAGGACGGCGTGCCTGTGCACGCCAGGGCCCCGCACGTCGGTACTGCCGACAGCTGAGGGCGGGCCATCCCTGGTCCGAGGGTTCCCGGTGCCGGTACTGCCGACTGACAGCAGGTGATCCCTGGTCGGAGGGCTGCCCACGCACTGCAGGATGTTCAGCGGCACCCCTGCCTCTGCACTGCCCTGAAAACCCAAACGTCTCAGGATGGCGCCAGGTGTTCTCTGGAGCCCAGGGGGAGGCGCTGGCGGCACGCTGGGAGCGCCTCTGATGAAGAACCATGAACCGAAGGGCGCCACTTCGCTCACGTTTGTGGGGCAGGGCCTGGCCGTGCCTGGGATATGGCAGGCGTGAACAAGCTTTCTGAATAAGCGCACGTTCAGAGAACAAACGGCAAATCCTGGCGTCCATTTATGTGCTCGCGGCACCGAGCAGATCCAGGCGGTCCCGTGTATCAGACGCACGGCCTTGGGCGAGTGTTGACTCTCCCACCTTTGGTTTCCTCACCTGTAGAATCCGGCCGGGCAGATCAACGTGCAGAGCGTACAGTAAATGGACAACAGGCGTGCCGTCTCTCTCCCTGACTGACGAGCCCGTGAACAGGTACCGGCTATCCCCTGCGCAGTCCTGCCCTCTAATTTCTCTTCAATCCTCCTTCGGTAAACTTAGTTCTGAGGCGCACTCATGCTTAAAGTCCTGAATTCTCTAGGGGAAGGGGTAGCCTCAGCACTGAGTAGCTGCTGCTTCGTTTACGAAATCCACAAAATGATACTCAGCCCTTTTTCTTTTAAGAGAAATTTTTCTTATTGGGTGCATGTGCTTGCTTGCCAGAGGACAGAGACAGACAGAACGTGAGGAATCACCCCCCAGGGGAGATGGCCATGCCACTATCCCTTCTCTGCCGTTCTCCTCTTAGGAATTGGGGCATGCACACACAAGCACCCGGCGTGAGTTTTAAGCTGCCAGATCTAGGACTGAAACCGTGGTCGACTACGTGAGAGTCCAGCGACATACCCATTACACTGTCTGCTGGGCCTCGTCCGTAACTTTCAAGAATTCTTTAAAATGTACATGTAGTAGTTATTTGACTACATAAACATTCAACATTTGTCATAAAAACTTCTGTATCTCAGTTTCATCTGTCACTTAACAAACTGCAAATCTGTTTCCTATAAACCGGCTGCTTCATTGCATGATTTTCTAAATTCCTTAACGTTTCCCATGGAGAACAAGTAAACACGACCGTGTCAAAATACCTCATAATCACTTTCCAAAAATTCGTGTAAGATCATTTCATAGATGAGTGGTTTCAGAACTGGATCTCCTCTTGGCAGGTAAGGACTAATAGCCTAGGGAAGGAAAAGGAAATAAACAATATTTCAAAAAGTATCAAAACAAAAGTATGTTCCAATTATTATGCAAAAAGCGTAAAAGCATATTTTTATTAAAAAAATGTAACACAACAGATTACTTTGGAGAATTATTCTGAAAAGAAAATATTCAAACGAACTCTACTTTCTAACAATAAATTACAACATTTATTCAAAAGTATATCCATATGGGGCTTGCTCTGTGGCATAGTGGTTAGGTGCTATACAGGGGAAGCTGGATCCCACAAGGCCAACCGGGGTTCAAATCCTGGCTTTGGTGGTTTCATGCTGGGTACATGTACACTCAGGATCCCAACAAGATGGAAAACTTGAGGAAAAAGAATGATGGTATGACCAGGCCCTGTTGTGAGATGTTGTATCTCTTGGGAGCAAGTGTCACAGCATGGAAAAAAAAAAAACAGTAGAGAAGTCAGCAGGTGGCCTGGTGGTTACGGTGCTGGATTCCCACCTGGCCAATTATGGTTTGAGACCCAGACTTGGTGGTTTGAAAAATCACAACAAATAAACAGATAGATAGATAAATACATACATAAATAGATAAATATATGTTAAAAACAACAAAAAAGTATGTTTGTATATGTATGTATGAAGGATCGAATAAAAATCATGCCCGTTAACTTTTAGCTCTGTTCTTCCAGATGAATTAATAAAAATCTAAATAATAAGAGACAGAAGGTCAGACATTATAAACGTCAACTTCTAAGTAATCAAGAATAATCTATTCATTATTCTTTCAATAACTGGAGTATGTCAACTCACAAATTGTTTATTTTATTTTATTTTATTTGTTTTTAGGGAGATTTTTGCTATAGGGTATGTGCACTCACCAGAGAGACAGAAGCAGAGAAATCACTC